TTAATTCAACTTTTTTTTTTGTATATGCTAAAATTTTTTTTTTTCAATCAAGTCCCGAAAGATTAAACTCTTGGAGTCGAGCACTTCTCGAGTTTTCGAATGAACATTATTAAGGTGTACACCTTAAATAATGTATTGTTCATTTTGTTTTGTATATTAGGCAATTTAATTTTTGTATTTGTATATGCTTGAGTAAATAGCATGTTTTAGACAATTCAATAAATTACACTTTAGATTTTTTTTCAAATTTACTTTTAACTTTTGATTAATTTATTTTTTTCTAAATTTAAATCAATTCATTTTAACTTACAATTTATTTTTCAGCTTATTTCTAAAATATGTTTGATTTTCTTTAAATCCTGTTTCAATATATTTTTCAACACTAAATTATTTCTCGATCAAGTCATAAAAATTAAATTCTTGAAGTCTAGCACTTCTTGAATTTTTGGACAAACATTATTGGGGTGTACACCTTAAATAATATGTCATTCAACCATTCGTTTAGTACGCGATTTAGAACAAAAATATCATAGGAATCTAGCATTCTGTGTGATATTTCCGTTGTTCATCCAAATATTTTTCAAATAAAAATGGTGTTATTGGAATCTAGCATTTCGGTAATACCCCGATTATTTAGTTGTGGGGCCGACGTCTCATTTATTAAATAATCGATATTTTCAAACTCAATCTCGCGTTCTTACTTCTCACACGTTCACAAATTATGAAAACCCCATTTCGCTTCAAATCATTTTTAAAATATTTTTCTCGATCAAACCCCGACAAAGAGGTACTTGGGATCTAGCATTCCTTGTGTCTTCGAGTGAATAATTCTCGAGGCACGCTCTTGAGTTGTTATTCACTCAACCTTTCGACTCTTTCAAATTCAATCATTCTCAAACATTCTCCTAAGTCGAATGCTCGTCCGCATTCGCAACCCATTTCATTCACAATTCCTCGTGGTCTCGATATTAGGAGCACCCTCAGGGACTAATATCATTTCTCACAATCCTAACCCTTGACACGTCGTCAAGCCGGTTCAATCTTCGATCAAATCTTCGACACGCCGTCGAGCCATTTTCAAACCAACTTCCCTTGGCCTCGCATGCCATTTTTTCGATACGATCATTTCACAAACATTTCTAAAATTTACGAAAGAGGGATATTCTCAAAATCTAGCATCCTTTGAATATTCGAATGAGTAACTCTCGAGGCACGCCCTTGAGTTGTTATTAGTTCATTCTTTCGATTTCAAAACATCCAGCTCTTTATCTTCAACTTATTCAGTCAGTTCCCGAAAGAACTGAGTTATTGGAATCTCGCATTCCTTGAATTCTTGAGTGACAAGTTCTTGAGGCGCGCTCTTGGGTTGCTTGTCAGTCACTCTTTTGTCTCTTTCTCAAACTTCCAATCTATTCAACCTCATCTTTTCGTGGTTGTTACCACGAACTACGACTGCTCTGATTCTTCATTCACTCTTGAATGTAAGATACGTAGGCACAAGATTGCGATGATCTTGGCGAGCACACTTCAATCTTCCTCCATTATTCCGTCCACACATTTCCCAATCTTTCCCCTATTCCACACTTCAATCTTCCTCCATTATTCCGTCCACACATTTCCCAATCTTTCCCCTATTCAACACTTCTATCCACCTCCCATTTCCCCCCATCTTTTCCCGTAGTCGAACTACGACGCTCTGATTTCTCATTCTCGTCCGAATGAGCATACGTAGGCACAAGGACCCCAATCCTTGGCGAGCATCCTATCCTCTAACCCCCCATTTCTCCTTTGCGTCTTTAACCTTTTAACCTACCAATTCTACCTTTAACAACGAGAAGAAAACAAGTAAACATAAACAACACTCCCCACAAATACCTTAAGAGGTTCCCGTCGAGTACGACGGACGTGAGGGGTGCTAATACCTTCCCCTCACGTAACCGACTCCCGAACCCGGAACATGGTTGCGACAGCCCTGTTCCTATCCTTTCGTTTTAAGAGGTTTTCTCGATATTTTCCTCTCCCGTTTATTCGGGAAGAATAAAGTTCGGTGGCGACTCTGTCGAACCGCATTTCCGCGCCTTTCGCGCGAGGGTCTTTTCTCCGAAATGTCTCAGTGATTTTTTCGAGGTGCGACACCTACTTGTTTAACATGTTCATCTCACATCCATATTGTTTCCAAGATTTTTTGTCACTCATACGGTATGATCTTAATGTCTATAAGTTATCCCTTGAAAATGTTTACACTTCAACCCACATGTTGTTGTCACACATGTCTCACTCTTATTCAAAGATATTTTGGGTTGTTACCTTTGTCATACTTTGGTTTGATATCCATGCTTTAAATATTGTCATGATTTATGCATGTTGATCTTGAATTTTGAACTTTACCATGATAAGTAATGTTTGGAATTATGCATGATTTATTTGTAGTTCAAATTATCACATATGATGTTTGGTATTGTAAGAACCTTATTTCATGATCTTTTAGATGTTGTAACATCTATGTTTACCTTTTGGTTTTTATTCTAACTACTAAGGATGGATGCTTGGTTGTAACCTTGTCATCTATTGACTTTATCAAAGTTTTGCTTGATGTTGGCATATATTTATCCTCTTCTCCTTGTTACCATGATTTTATGTCTTCATCATGTTTGAATGAATATATATGTGTGCTTGAAGCTTGTTAAGTTTTCCCAAGTGATGTAGCTTGTTAGCTCTCATCCTAAAACGTTGTCTTGTGTTCCTAAGTCCAAAGGAAAGTCTCTCTATTGATCTAGCGCATTTTCTTAACTCAAAACTTTGACCTATGTCATTACAATGTTAAAACTCTTTTCTTAATAAACATGAAAGAAGAGGACTGTTGGAATCTAGCATTCTAGCAGAACCCTCAAATGATCGGTCTCAAATCTCGCACTTTGGGATAGTCGTTCATTCTTTTCTTTCGTCCTTAAAACATTTAATATCAATGTGGACAAATAAGGGCAGTTAAGATCTAGCATCTTACCATAACTCGTTGATGATTAATTATCATCAAGAGTTCATTGTCCATCAAACAATTTTCAAAATAACTTGAATGAAAAGGGTCGTTAGGATCTAGCATTCTGGCGTAACTCTTTGAGCAATTGATTCTCATTAAATATCTGTCATTTACCTAAAATACATTCAACCAATCAAACTATTTTTCTCGCCACTGTGCGGCCCAAAAAACCTTTTCATAAATGTGAGATATTGTGTCTTTCGACGACATAAAATATTGTTTCGTCCATAAACTATTTGAGTTGAGATAAGAGGAGTTTCCCACGAATGTTGATTTGTAAATCCATTCTGTTGTGATGAAAACATCCACTCCTCACCTGTTTTGGGCAAAACAATGTTTTTTGTTGAATGCGATTAAATATCTTTCGCTAAAATTGACCAACAAACAAAACCTTTTACCCATAACTACGGATGCTCTGATTTCTCATTTCACAATGAGGATACGTAGGCAAAGGGCCCTAATCCTTGGTGAGCCACCATTTCCAACCTTTTTTTTTCTTTTTTTCTCATAGTCCCCAAACTACAAAGGCTCTGAGTTCCTCATTGCGCTATGAGGATACGTAGGCACGAGATTGTGAAGTCTTGTCGAGCCTTCTAGTAATAAAAAACCTTTAGGACCCCTTTCTCTTTAATAAAAATCCAAAAACATTTCTCTTCTCTCCTTTTTCCATCTTAAATAAGTAAAAGGTTAGAAACTAACATAAGCTAACATACATTTAACCCTAACTAAATGGTTTTCGTTAAGTACAATGGACGTGAGGAGTGCTAATACCTTCCATTTGCGTAACCGACTCTCGAACTCTGATATTGGTTGCGATGACCATATCCTTATCGTTTTTTAGGGATTTTATTCGATATTTTTCCTTTTTCTCTATCGGAATAAATAAATAATGGTGGCGACTCTGTTAAGTCCATCCCGCGAATGTGCGATTGTGCTTCGCGAGGTCGTTCTCATTTTTCGAGGTGCGATAGTGAAATTTTAAAATGAGGTTTTTTTTGTAGCTTATGAGTAGTGTTCTTTAGGGTTTTTCATGGTGCTTTTGAATGAATAGTATAGGGTATATATAAGACTTGCAATTAAAGTTTTTATGCTAGAAATCAGGGGACAATTCGTTGTGAGTGAAAATATATTTTTGAAATTCTTATGTGAGTGGTAGAGCGTAAATTGTACTATCCTGCAGCTGTAAATTATTTTGTCAGTAGTGAGGCCATGGTACAATAGCCCCACATGAATTCTTTTGCTTTACTGCCTCCTTTGTTTTCCTTATTTGAAATTGTGGTATGGCATGAATTGTATGATGCATATGTGACTTGAATATGATAATGTATATGAGTGAATTTATGATATGAATATGTCATGAGTTTTGAACATGGGATTTTAGAATATATCTTGAACATGCTTGCTTGAGTTGCATTGATATGAAATGAAATTTAAACTTGAATTGTCTTGAAATGAGTTGAGTTGTTTTTGAAATGAAATTTGAACTTGAATTTTAAAATGAAACTTGAATAGAAATTGGAATGAAACTTGAATGGATTTTGTAGTGAAACTTGAAATGAGTTGAATTTGAATTTGTATGATCTTGGAATGTGTTTGGAACATGGATGAATTAAAGTAGTTTGAATTGTGTTTGGAAAATAATGTGAGTTTTGAAGTGAATTTGAAATTGACATGAATAAATGTGCATGTAATTGTTTGGTATGAAGTTGATTAAATTGTGATGAATAACTTGAATGGCACCAATAAGAAGATTCGAGAAATTTTCTCCTAAAAACATATTTTATTTTTTAAGAATTCATGCTCTCGAAAATATCTATGTGAAATTATAATTTTGTTGTAATGGATTTTCTCTAGGTCTATCACAATAACTTAGTAGACAAGATATGACAACATACTTGCTAGTTTTTTTATTTATTAGAATAACATTATTACATTTTACTTGTGCGACAGATTTTTAAACATATTACTGTTTATACATGAAGAGTTTATATTTTTTGATATTCTTGCTAATTCCATGAATGGCACCAATTCCAGCACTTGCTGAAATCACAAAACACACAAAACTCAATAATTGGAGCACACACCACTTGAATGAAAATTTGTTGATCTGTTTCTGAGATATGTGCATTTGTACTGGAAAGAAGATGACGAGTGGCCAAAATCCAAATGCTCCAAGCAAAGAAAGAAACTCGTTGAAAAATGGCATTGCCATGGCCATAACTGTGGCCAATATCACAAATATTGTCCTCCATATTATCCTAAACAAGTTGACGTTGAATTTTAAGGATCCAATTTTGTTTGGGTATTCCTTATTTATAAAAGTTGAACATGGCCACTTCATATTAGCCCCCATCTCAACTATACGAAATATTGGTTGAGCTAACACCTGTATCATAACATAAATATCTTTTGTTAACTCAAACTCTTACCGCTGAGTTACATCTCAGAAAAAATAAGAGAAATATTTACCTGATATGCTCCCACCATGTGAATTATAATGCAAACATTTCCTAAGGAAACCAACCAGAAGGGCTCATAGAACCCAAAACCAGTGAGAATGTTTCCTGGGGTGTGATCACCAAATGCAGCATAACCAAGTGAAGCACATAGCAGAAAAAGTATCGTCATTGTTGTTATCCCAAACGCATTAGCCTTTTTCATTTGCTTGCTTTCTGATGGATATGACCTTAATGTGTCCTAAACAAAACATATATAGATACAGAAAAATGTGTTAAAATGTGTGATAGAGAATAGTTTTTGTAACCTAATTAGTAAGTTATGTGTTTGTACCATTATATCATAAACAACGGTAGAATAAGTGCATGCTAGTGCAATGTTTCCCAAAGCAGTTAAAATCTTCCAGACTTTATCTTCTCTTGATAATTCTGGTCCTACTTTGATACCAAACCAACTTGTTGGTTCTCCGTTCCCTATTTACCACCAAATAAAATCCTTCAATAGTTGAAACAATTCATCAAACAAATTTCATAACTATACAAATATTAAACTTTTGCTAGAATTGATGTTGAAAATATACCTGATAGCACAACGCCCAAAGAGAGTCCACTTCCAATGAATGCATAGGCAAAAGAAGTAATAGCAGCAAGAGTTGATAGAAATGTTAACTTATGGAAATTTGGGATCTGAGACAGTAAAATCTGAACGATCCCAAAACCAATTATATAAGGATTATTTGAAAACTTGCAATATGCTTCATGTCCATTTTTGTGGAAGCAAATTAATTTCTTTATAGCTCTGTCACATAAATACATTGCCGTAAATTAGAAAAAAGAAAAATAAATAGTGTAAAGTAAGATTTAGGGATAGTTTTGTAACATACACCATGCTTGTGGAGGAAGTTATAGTATATCCCACTGTAACACCTACAAGTTTTCCATACTGGATCAATCCACAAAACACGTACATTTTTCCACCTAGATATGCATGCACAGCTTGCATGTAAGTATAGTTTCTTTTGCCGTTAACTGGATCTGGATATCTATAACAATCAGCTATAAGATTGTAAGTGTAAATGGAAATAGATGAAAACATGATCATAACGGCAATGCCAAATATCCATCCAAGTTGAGCAATTGCCCATGCTAGAGCCAACACTCCTGCGCCCACTACCACTGTTATAATGTGTGTTGTTGCCGTCAACACATTCCCTACAACCACAGTCATTTATTTAAAAAATTTACATGACATATTTCTAAAGTTGTTACATTATTTTTGAAGAAAAAACATCTGTATAAGGAATATTTTAGTTCTGTTTTTTCCTTACAGTTGAATTTCAACTACATAACAGTATAACACGTGTGATATAGGAAAAGAAAAAGAGAGATACTGAAAGCAGATAGAGTTCAAAACTGGAAAGAGGTAGAAAGCATATAATACCAGTTCTCTTTATTCTTCCATCATCATCTACTTCCTCATTTGAGTACTGTTTCATTGACACTACTTTTTCATCCTCCATTTTCACAAGGTTAATTTAATAATCTTCAAACCCTGCCAAGCATCAAAAAGAAATTTGGAAAATATTATCACTCATCTTAATTAGGAAAACAAAATCTGTTTCTTTATTATACATTATATACAAAGTAAAATACATAATTTGTTTGTAATATTCACATAACTCGTATTTTTTTTAAATTATTACAAAATGATTGATTAATTTCTTATAATATTTTGATAGTTACCCAAAATGATTGATTCTTTTTTTTTTAAATATTACAAAATAGTAGGTATTTAATTTTTAACTATTACTATATATAAATATTATTCACATAACTCACAAATTAATATCTTTCCATTTACATTTATAATAAAAGAAGTGAGAAGAGAAATAAATGATTAAATAATTTAACAAAAATATAATTGTATATTTTGTTAGTTTGTGTGAATTTGTTAATTAAATTAGTTATTTTATATAAGAGAAAATAATAAGACTTGATTTTAGATAAGACTCGAAACATATTCCAAAAACAGCTTTTCAAAAGTAAAAGTTGTACCTGTTCTCCAGTGAATTTAGCAATGATTAATCCTTAGTTTTCTTTTTTATTCTATTTCTCTTCCTCTTCCTTTCACTCTCTTCTATCTGCTCTCAAGTGAATTTTGTCTTCTACTACTTTATTGCTCTAATTCAGAAAATGGTTCTATATTTATACCTATGAAAAGTGAATGTTGGGCAAATTTCCAAATTGCCCCTGCTTTACTTGATATATCTATATTACTAACTTTATTGTTCCTGCGTATAATTATTTTACCATTATATAATACAATGATATAACATTATAATTATTTATAGGATCATTGTTTTTAATTTTGTATGAGAAGTAACACCTTATTAAGAGAGATAATACGCGTGTAATTATATTTATATATAAAATTCTCATTTGTTTTAAAACAAGAAGAAAAAAATTTGTTGAGTTTTAAAGCAAAAAAGTGTGTGAAAAACAATCTCCGCGTCATTTGATTTGGTAATTGTGCAATAACATCGGATATAAAAGTGTAAGTATGAAACTGTCTTGAAATCCAATTATTCTTTAAATGAATTTCAGTGTTTGACAAATAAAACCCATACAATGATGTTTTGTTTAGTATGGTTGGTTTGACTTGATTTGTAGTACATCAATTTATTTTGAGTGTTAGTCAATTAATGATAATAGTTTGCTCTAAATGGATATAAAATTTGTTTTCCAATCAATCCTCCAATATTTTTATGCAAGAGATTAATGAGAGAAAAGGAATTAAACCAGGCAGGTTAGGGAGATAAAGATACTTGATTTATTCTTGGCATCCAAAAAAATTTTAATTACATTTAAATTCAACTTAAATTTAATGATAATACCGAAATTGCATTTGTTCATATAAATATATCAAAATATCTATATTTTTCATTATAAATCTTCACTTCATCTCTAAGAAATCTCCATAATATTTTCCAATTATTTCTTATCAGTGAATAATATTTTATAATTTATAAATTATATAAACTATATTTTTTTAATTTACATAAAATTATAAAATAACCTATAATTTGAGTGAATAGAGCAAAATTTAACTTCAAATCATATACTAATATTTGAGTTCATTACAATGAAATATTTTAAAATGAGTCATCTTGATATTCAATTATATTTGAGTTCATATTAATTGATAAATTCTTAAAATAAAATAAAAAAATTGATTTATTTAATTATTAATCAATTGAAATTCTTTAAATAATAATATTATAATTATAATGTACCTAAATATTAAAGTATTCCGACATTTTAGTCAATTAAGACAATGTAATTCCTACTTGAATCAAAAATAAGACAAAGTAGTTCCTACTTGAATTTGGAGTAAATTGAGACTAATTTAATAATGATTTTAGGATTTGCTTGAAAGAATCCACCATGATGGGTGATTATTATTCATGCAATTTGTGTTTATATTATCTAGAAGCTTTGTATCAAAAAAGGAAAACATATCCTAGCATGTATGAATTGCTTGTATATGTTATTTAGTAACTAACTTTTACCAAAAAGACATTTGAAAACAACATAGAAAGTAAATTTTGATAATTTTTACTTGATAACTAAATAGCAAAATATTTGCGGTATATCCATAAGCTTAGAGTTTTGCTTGAGAACTAATGTATAGTGGGGATGGAATAAGCAAATAATGATTATTATCATCTTGACATTAGTGCTAGTGGAGAAGAGAATAAAGAATAAAGCAATGTCAGGTGCATGTCACAGTGAATGATGCAATTTTTGTGATCATATGGTGTTCAACATTTCTCTATCACGCATGTGATACAAGGGAATTATTATTGCCTTGAATGGAACGGTTACTAATTTGGCTTAAGATTATTCCGGTATGAATAAACAATGAATGGCTGAGAATGAAAACAACCAAAGTTAGACTAGAAAAGAATTCAATAAGCATGTTCATTGAGAATAAAGCAAAAAAGAATACACGAAACCTTTAGGCTTTGCATCAAATAATCTTCTGGACTTCCGGCAGTCAACTATTATGGCCCGCCTTGATGATTACTACAAAATAACTGAGGCTGATGATAAATCACACAAAAATCAGGGGCCATCTCGCGAATCTTATAGCTTATATTTGCTTTGTGTCATCGATCAATGTCTTATCGAAAATCCCATTGCTTGGTAAACATTATGAAGCGTAGCATCCGCTATATCTGCTGCATTTCTAGCACCTTCTGCTAATACTTGGTCTAAATAACCTGAATCTGACATGAGTTCTTCGTACCGAGCCTGTTAAAACATGAATGTAATGCATCACCATATTCAGCAATGATTATTACAGTACTATGTAAGAATATACTGTGGAAACCACACTAAGAAAATTTCAAAAAACTTATAAATATTAATTGCGACTAACTTAATGCAGTCATATTTCCACTACTATGAGAATATAGTTAAGATGTTACAGTCCCTTCGCAAGGAAGATTTTTACCATTGTTCTGATTTCCTAGTCTCCAATCCAAAAAAATAAGTTATAAAACGAGTTATGCTCTAAACTTCTCTTGCAAGATTTCAACAGCTACTTAATGTTTTGGTATAAAAGATTACAAGAAATGATAATTTAAATTCATAGCCATATTTATAATGATTAAATAATATTGCATAATAACATCAAAATTGAACTTTTAGAAAGTACTTAAACACCACTTATCCAAATAAACCTATGTAACAAATTGCACACATCTGTCTAAAATTATCCCTTTAGAATGGGCCATTAAAAACTAGAAGCATCCAAATAAACCTGTATAATATGTGCATGATTAAACAGTCATTTTTGTTGTGCCAGGAAATTTTTAGCAAAGGTCACATCTAGTATTTGGAACCTGAATGGGTTGCACGTGGTCAATCAAGGCATCTGTTAAAAGAGGTTTGAATGTGCCCCAGTTCATGTTTTGGCATTCCTGCACAATTTCCTGTACACAAAAATGGGTTCAAATAGAATATCTCTGTAAATGCTAGGAAATCAAATATCACTGCTTGATTGAAAAATGCTTTGAAGAAATATAACAATAAAGACTAAAGTTTACACGGGACTTTCCTAAGTACTTTCAATATCCCATCTCATGCCTTTTGACTGGTCATAGTAGAAAGAATTATTTCACAAATTAATGCCCGGGAATTCTTCCAAACATTGGCAGTGATATGTTGAGGAAGTTTTAAAATATTAATCCGAATACCGTAATTTGAGAAAGACTAATTCGTAATACAAAAACTAATATGAGATACTTCCTAGTCCCGATACATTTATTTGTTGGACATAGAAATTTAAACTTCGAGGAAACGTAAAAAGTGAGCTTGATCCAATGGCCCCTATATGACATTTTGGTTTCTGATAGAACAATGTGGTTTTCACATTAGGGCAATGGCCAATCCCCAACCAACCTCAGCTCTAATAGCCATTATAGTATTTATTGGTTAAAATCTTACAGTGATACCAAAACTTAACATGAGGTGATTCTCACAGCATGTCACTTGCATGTTTTTCTTTGTAACATCTATATATTTACCCTCAACACCAAAAGGAGGGTAACAGGGCATGTGTAATCTATGTAGCACCGACACCTCGGAAAAAATGTGTGTCCGTGTCGGTATCGGACACCTGCACCGACAATTGTGATTACGTTTAATTTATTCATTTTGTCAAATCATTATCAGTGTCATAGTGTCGAGGTCGTATTCGAGGTGTCCGTCCTTCATAGTGTGTAATTTATTAACTTCCTGTCTTTATACAGATGCTCTTATTTTTACCCTCAACACCAAAAGCATGTGCTTTAATAGGTTAGACACAAAAGTAAAACTATAAAGTTAAAACTTTACATGGAAAGCATCAAACATGCTTGGTTGAACAAGATTCCAAAACCATTAAGATATTGACAACAAAACAATTATAAATGAAAAGGAAATATAATCCATTTCTGACCTCTTTTGTCTTTCCAGAAGCGAGCTGGTATATGGAAAGAAGATTATTACATTCAGGTCTCTCAGGATTGTCGATTTCCAAGCTGTTAGATTCACCATAGTATATTAACAATTACGAGCTTACAAACCACAAAATTTGAAAATATTTATAGAAAATGAGTAAATGAAGAAAAAAGTAGGCATTTACAGGAAGCCTCCAAGGACCATGAGCATTATATAACTATAATATCATTAAAAATGGGATAATAACAATACTAACCTTGGAAAAGAATCAGTTTTGCAACGTTTGATCTTGTTTGCTATAAGCTACAAAACAAAATAAGTAAACTCTGAGAAAGAGAAAGGAAAATTAAGATCTGCAGAGCAAATAGCAAATTTATCTTATATTGATAGGCAATTTTACCATATATCAATATGTAAGTTGCAAAAAATGCTTCATTCAATATGGGTGATAGAATTATATTTAATTTAAATACACATAATCATATAATATGTAAATCATGTGCTAAATTCCAAG